CTGAGCCACCCAGGCGTCCCCTAATCATTCTTTTTAATCAAGTGTGTTTTTGAAAGCTCAGTCATCTGGGTCCCTTTTGGGTCTCTTCCATTGTCTGCTCCTTCTTGATTTTTGATCACAATATCATGTCTTCTCACCTACTTAGTTATTATGAGTGCTGGAGACATTAAGTGAACAGTTGTAGAGAATTTAAAACCCTAGAGTAATGATATCTTGGGGGATTTATGTTACTGGGCAATGGCTTGTGGAATTGGCGATCCTGGATCTTTTGAATGCAATCAAGGATTAAGGTGGTTTGACGCTGAGCTTGAATCCATAGGAGATTCAGACTGTTTCTACTTTATTTACTTCTAGTGTATGACATTGCAGAGGTCCAACTCACAGTGTGGCGGATTCAGCAGGCCTTCTTTGCTTGGTGCATCTCAGGTTTTGACCCCTGAGTGCTGCTAAAAGTTACTGTGTTCAGTTCTTAGTGGCTTCTCCTGGACTTGGAAGATGTATCTAGGGGAAATGTGCCTCTAGTGCAGGGTTTCCATTATGTCTCAGATCTTGACTCCACAGTTCTTTAATGTCCAGGAATAGATGTTTTTTCTACATTTTATCTAGCTTTTCTAATTCTTCTCAGGAAGGCTTTTTGAATTTACTTACTTTCTCATACTGGGTAGTGGAACTTCAGTATTTTGTAAAAGTTCCTCTAAGTGATAGCAAGGGTTGACAACTACACTCCCAACTCATCTTCTGTAATCATTCCCTTCTTGTTTAGGCAACTCCAACTGCTCAGGGCTTTATGATTTTTCTTAAGACCTTTATACTTGCTGTTTTCTCTGCCTGGGACTCTTCTCCCCCATATTGCTGAATGGCTCATTCTGTTATTTTCATCAGGCCTTCATCTAAGGGTAACCTTATCTGTGATATCTCTTGACCAGGCTGATGAATACCACACATAAAATAGCAACCTGGGACACCTGGGTGGCTCAATGGTTGAGAGTCTGCCTTCAGCTCAAGGTGTGATCCCTGGGTTCTGGGATGGAGTCCCTCATCAGGCTTCTTGCAGGGAACCTGCTTCTCCTTCTGCCTGTATCTCTCTGCCTCTGTCTCTGGGCCTCTCATGAATAAGTAGATAAAATCTGAAAAAGTAAAAATAAAAAAAAAATAGCAACGCCTCCACCTCCACAAGCCTTTTATTTTTCTCCATTTTGCTGACCATCACACAACATGTAATTAGTTTCTACCACAATGTGTAAACTCTTGGAGACATTGTTTTGTCCCATTATATGTCTAGCACCTAAAATTGTCCTGCACATAGGAAATATTCACTTAGGGATACCTGGGGGGCTCAGTTGGTTGAATGTCTGCTTCTTGAGATCTAGCTCCACGTCAGCTCCACACTGGGAGTGGAGCCTGCTTAAGATTCTCTCTCTCCCCTGCATCCTTCTGCCTCTCCCTCCCCACTCTCTCTGTCTCTCTTAAAAGAAAAAGAACAGAAAATGCCCAGTTAATATTTATTGCTGAATGAACGTAAGAATGAAATTATGATAAAAGTACAGGCTTTATAGGTGCTCGTGAGGTTTAAATTAATTAATATATTTAAGTGAAGACATTTACAGTTAAGGTAAGCATATGGTAAATACCCATGTATTATTTTTCAAAACTGTTGCCTCTCAAATGATATTTCTCATTTCTAGATATTGTAGAGATTGAAAATGACTTGCCTTTTGTAAAGGAGGCCTATTTTTTTTTCTCTCATATTACTATTATGATTAACACCAGATTTTACAACCCTGGAGCTGGAATAGTAGAATGAAGCTTAATCCCTGGAACTCTGTTTATGTAACTGCAGGATTTAGAGAATAGATCTGTATATATAAACTAGCTTGTGATTTCCAGGCAGTCAGGAAACAGTTTTTAATGTAACTTAATGAGTTGGAGAGCGATTAAATAGGCATGATTCCTTTTAACTTTTATCTTGTAAGAACTCCATTCTGGGAAACTGGCACACTCACAGTTACATAAGTAATGCAAGTGAAATATAATACTAAGCAGATATAAACAAATACTGTTTTTGTTGAAAAAGAACATCAAGATTGATTGACCTGAGTGGTAAGTATTGACTCAAGCAAATGCGGAAGTCAATGTTTATTGCAAGGCACAGTAAATCTTGTTGACCAGAAAATATATAGTTAATCTCAGTAATATTACAGTGTTTCACTAGAAGTATCTGGAAATCCTATGGAATGAATCTCTTGAGATAACTTTCCTTTTGGAAAAACCCAACAACGAACTTTTAAGTTGAAGACATAAAGTTCTTTTTAAAGTCCTTACACATACTGATAAGCTTTTCCCTGATTATTTTTAACTTGGATAGCCATGTTCTTCCCTTATGCCTGAAAATGTCATTAGTTAGTTGCTTTATTCAAGAAATTGATTGATAATCAGTTTTTGTTCCATATCCATTATACTGTGTATAAGTTTTATGTTAGATAGTTTATAAGATACAAGGAGGAAGTATCTTTGATGTTCATTGAGTTTAGTGAAAATACAAGATCTCTATATATGAATAGGCAGTGGCATAAGACTATATATGACACTTTGAATCTGATACCATAGAAATTATTTTAGAAAGTTGAGATGAGAGGAAAGGTGAAGAAAACTTTAGGGAGAAGATGAACTGTAAATCTTTTTTAAGTTTTTATTTTAATTCCCATTAGTTAATTTACAGTGTTATATTCATTTTAGGTGTAAAATATAGTGATTCAGCAATTCCATACATTATCTGGTGCTTGTGACAAGTGCACTCGTTAATCCCCATCATATATTTAATTCAACCCCTCACCTCATCTCCCTCCCTTCTGGTAACCATCAGTTTGTTCTCTGTAATTTTAAGAGTCTGTTTCTTGATCTCTCTCTCTCTCTCTCTCTCTCTTCTTTTCCCTTTGCTCATTTGTTTTGTTTCTTAAACTCTACATGAGTGAAATCATATGGTATTTGTCTTTCTTTAACTTATTTTGCTTAGCATTATACTTTCTAGCTTCACTCATGTCTTGCAGATGACAAGATTTAATTCTTTTTTATGACTGAATGATATTCCATTATATATGTATGTGTGTGTATATGTATATATGTGTGTGTGTATGCATATATATAATATAAAAGAATGAAATATACCTCTGTATATTCACATACACACCACATCTTTATCCATTCATGTATTGATGGATACTTGGACTACTTCCATATCTTGGCTGTTTGAAATATGCTTCTATAGACATCAGTGTGTGTGGATACCTTTGAATTAGTGTTTTTGTATTCTTTGGGTAGCCCAGTAGCATGATTGCTGAATCATAGGGTAGTTCTATATTTAAAACTTTCTGAGGACCCTCTACACTTGTCTTCTATAGTTGCTGCACCAGTTTGCATTCCCACCAGCGGTGCAGAGGGTTCCTTTTTTCCCCACATCTTTGCCAACACTTGTTTCTTGTGTTTTTGATTTTAGCCATTCTGACAGGTGTGTGGTGATATCTGTTGTAGTTTTGATTTGCATTTCTCTAATAATAAGTCATGTTGAGCATCTTTTCATATATCTGTTGGCCATCTATATGTCTTCTTTGGAGAAATGTCTTCTGTCCTTTTTTTTTTTTTTAAGTTAATCTCTACACCCAACGTGGGGCTTGAACTCACAACCCTGAGATTAAGTTGCATACTCCACCAACTGAGCCAGCCAGGCATCCCTGCCCATTTTTAAATTGGATTATTTGTTTTTTGGGTGTTGAATTGTGTTGGTTCTTTATATATTTTGGATCCTAACCCTTTATCATATATGTCATTTGCAAATATCTTCCTTCATTCCATAGGTTGCCTTTTGGTTTTGTTGACTGTTTCCTTTGCTGTGCAGAAGCTTTTTATTTTAATGTAGTCACAGTAGTTTATCTTTGTTTTTGTTTCCCTTACCTCAGGAGACATATCTAGGAAAAAGTTACTATGGCCAATGTCAAAGAGGTTATTCCTGTGTTCTCTTTTAGGATTTTTATGGTTTAAGGTCTCATATTTAGGTCTTTAATCTGTCTTGAATTTATCTTTGTGTATGGTATAAGAAAGTGGTCCAGTTTCTTTCTTTTGCATGTGGCTGTCCAGTTTTCCCAACACCATTTGTTGAAGATACTATCCTTTTGCTCACTGTATATTCTTTCCTGCTTTGTTGAAGATTAATTGACCATATAGTTGTAGGTTTATTTCTGGGTTTTCTGTTCTGTTCCATTGATCTGTGTGTCTGTTTTTATGCCAGTACTACATACTTTTGATTATGTAAATAAAATCTTTTTTTTTTTTTTGTAAATAAAATCTTGAGTAGGGTTTGAATAGGCAGACAAAAGAATGGTTTGTAGTGTGAGAAATAGAGTTCCAAAAGCATAAGATTTTAATGCGTGGGCTTAAAAAATTTATAGAAATAATAAATGTTAAATTATAGACATATATGAAAAGACAAAAATAAATTCTTCCACTAGAGATAGTTACCTTTATAATTTTGATATATATCTTTCTAGACTTTTTTATGTTCATGTATATTTATAGGTGTAAAAAATGCAAAGATATTTGTGTGAATGTTTATTAATACATCTGAATAAATAGGAAAATAAATATATAATGGGATAGTATACTATTGTGTATATATATATAGGGATATTCATTTTAGGTGTAAAATACAGTGTGATTCAACAATTCCATACATTATCTGGTGCTTGTGACAAGTGTACTCCTTAATCTATCATATATTTAATTCAACCCCTCACCTGGGGTTGAATTAAAGAGATATTATAGTGTGTGTGTGTGTGTGTGTGTGTGTGTGTGTGTGTGTGTATGTATGTAGTAATTTAATTGATCAGTGAGAGTACTGTGGTCTTTGTGATTCCTAAGATTTTCCTTCCTGAACATACTAGATACATTTGGTTGAGTAAGTAGATTCATTGTTTTTACTGATAATGAATCTCTTATAATTTTTTTAGGTGCTGGGTCTTCAGCTCTGAAGAGGCCATTTGAAGATGGATTAGGGGATGATAAGGATCCCAATAAGAAGATGAAACGAAACTTAAGGAAAAGTATATAAAAATCTTTATTCTTAGAGATATGAACTAGAAAAGATTTGTAGTTTCAGACAGGAAAATAAAAATTACCAAGTGAAGAATTTGATTGATTTGAATTGGAGTTTTAAAAATATATCTTATATGAGAAATTGATGATTGGATAACTTTTGTTTTCAAGCTTCATTGCTTAAGATATATTAGTATTGACAAACTAAATTGATGTTATATTATTATTATTATTCATGTCACTTATATAGTGATGTTAGTATAATTTAAGTAATTTTAGAATCACTGATGAAGTGAAATTGTATATATATGTTTTCAAATTCTTGCTTTTTAAAACCTGGTGAATTAATAGTGGTCTTTCAGAATCTACAGATGCATAGATTAAAAGCAAAATGATTTAATTTCTGATCTCATTTTTTGTTTTGTTTTTGTTTTAAACAGTTCTGGATAGTAAAGCAATAGACCTTATGAATGCACTAATGAGGCTAAATCAGATCAGGCCTGGGCTTCAGTATAAGCTCTTGTCTCAGTCCGGCCCTGTCCATGCCCCAGTCTTCACAATGTCTGTAGATGTGGACGGTACAACATATGAAGCCTCAGGGCCATCCAAGAAAACAGCAAAACTTCATGTAGCAGTGAAGGTAAAGTTTTGCTTTTGTTTAGCAGGGCTTTGTTATTTTATGTTATAAATAAGGTGCTTATTTTTCTCAGATAAATTAATAGAATTTTTAAAGATTTTAAGGACAATGGCGCAAAGACTTTTGTCACCTCTGGGTTACAAAATTTTTTTTTAGTTTTAAAATTATTGGTGTTGATTATACAAAATTTGGAAAATGCAGAGAAAAAGACAAAAATGGGGCAGATCATTAATATTTATATTAATGATATTTTATATTAGTATTTATATTACGTGTAATATATAAATATGATATATATTCATATATATTTATATAATATACTTACAATATGTTTAGGTTGAGCTCACAGTGTGTATTTAATTTATCTTATGATTTCTTTCATTTACTATGTTATCAGTATTTTCTCATGTTATTAAAATCTTCACAAGTAATTTTTAATGGCTGTATGATTAACATGATATGGTTGTACTATTATTTGTTTAAACATTTTACTATCATTGAATATTTTGCTGTTTGCAGATTTTTCCAGTCATAAATAAATTTAATTATTATCTTCGGGCATATGGTGCCTTTTGTGTATTCCAGAATATTTTTGTAGGGAATAAGATCCAGGATTGAACCAACCAATCATGCATGTAGGTTTGTAGACAGTCCCTAAATCCTGGAATTTTTCCATGACATGCCCTCTCGTAGACAAATGTGAAAATGTCAAAGATCATGTAGACTAAAGATCAATTTTCATTTAAGAAGTTATGTAGCAGTATGGCATAAGACAGAATTGGTCTCTTTTCAGGATCATTCCATTTTGCAAGTATTATTAATATAGATGTTAACATTATCCTAGATTCTAAGGATACAGCAGTGAACAAAACAAAATCCTTCGCCTCCTGGAGCCTGCATTCTAGCATGGAAAAGATTGGAGACAGACAAATATACACATGAATAAATTATAAGCACGATGTAGGAAAACAGTAACTAAAGTGTAAAAATATAAAGCAATATTTATGTTGTGTCTTGTTTATAAAAAGGGGTACTTCAAGTATGATGAAATAGTATGAGTTTAAAATGAAGCAGAGGGCAGCCCTGGTGGCTCAGTGGCTTAGCGCCACCTTCAGTCCTGGGTGTGGTCCTGGAGACCCGGGATCGAGTCCCACGTCAGTCTCCCTGCATGGAATGGAGCCTGCTTCTCCCTCTGCCTGTCTGTGTCTGTGCCTCTGTGTGTGTGTGTCTCTCATGAATAAATAAATAAAATTAAAAAATAAAAAATAAATAAAATGAAGCAGAAAAATGAATGAGGGAAAAAAATGAATCCAGGAATAAAGCTAAAAATACAGTTTAATAACTTAGCTATAATGTATTCTGAGAATGAGTCATAAATTTAGATCTCAGTTCTCTACATCTAACTCAAAAAGCTTGTGAAATATCCCTTTGCTGTTTGTGACATAAGAACAGACAGTTGATTATAGGAGTCATAGTTGTTTTGGTTTAGAGATCAGTGGGTATTCTTCTTTAGTGGGTCTTCATAAAAAAGGATAACAGTGACATCCTTTAACATCATGGGTGATGCAGTGACAGTTTGTGAGCTGTTTGTTATAATTGCCTTTAATGTAAGCTAGTGGTCTCATAGCAACTTGGAATTCAGTAAAATTTGGGAGTAAGAACAGTGGCAGATTTTGTAATATGACAGGATTTAAATACTATTTGTTCTCACAACTACTACTAACATTTTGATATGTATTTTTCCAAGCCTTGTTTTTTAACCTACAATTCCAAAATCCAGAAAGCACTGAAAATGAAAAGTATTTCCAAAGTTTGATGCAGACTCACTTGATGGGAAGACCTGACCTGAATTGATGTAGAACTACTCTTAGTCTTTATTATTCCATTTAGTGTGAATATTTTATGTGTTTTGTGCACAGACATGGGGTACACCTGAACTCACCTAGGGATTTGGAAAATATATAGTAAATATTTTATATTAGTTTTCTAAACTGAAAAACTATGAATTCTCAAAATAGTCTGGCCCCATGTGTTTTAGATAAGGAATAGTGGGACCTACATAATAGGTATACAAAAAATATATTTAAATAAGTATTTTTTTGTTCATCTAAGAATATGAGTTTTTAAAATAGTTATCACAAAGTTCTCCTTTTTAATGATGGCCTAATATTTTTTAGTATCAATCTATAATAACATAACTAATCCTTTTAGATTTAGATGCTTCCAGTTGATTGCTTTACATCTTTTTGAACTAGTCTCATTATCCCTTAAGATATATTCTCTGGGCAGTTGGCTGGCTCTGTCGGTAGAGCATGTGACTCTTGGATCCTAGAGATCATGAGTTCAAGCTCCATGTTAGTTGTAGTGCTTATATTATTTTTATTTTTAAGATTTTATTTATTCATGAGACAGAGAGAGAGAGAGGGAGGGGCAGAGACAGGCAGAGGGAGAAGCAGGCTCCACACAGGGAGCCTGATGCGGAACTTGATCCCAGGACTCCAGGATCACACCCTGGGCCAAAGGCAGGCACCAAACTGCCACCCAGGGATTCCCCTGTAGAGCTTATATTAAAAAAAGAAACAAGGATATATTCTAGAAATGGAATTTCTAGATCAAGAAGAGAGCACATTTGAATAATGCATTAATTCACTAAATATGTATTGAGCTTCCTATTATATGTTAAGCATGTATATATTGCCATCTATATACGAGAGTTTTCAAGTTCCGTTTTATAAGCGGGTTTGGGAGTGTTTTATATTTAACATATGTTTTTGAAAATAGGTCCCACTGGATAAAAATTCTTATATTCCTTACTCAGCTTGGTAGGGGTCTGTATTTGTTACAATAGATCATACCAGAGAATCAAATCTAAACAAAATATGAAAAAGCAGTTCCTCCCCCAAGGGACTGGGGAGGGGAGCCAGCAGTGGGTACCTGACATGATGGAGATCAGTTGCCAATTTTTTCTTTCCTCTTTCAGCCCTTTTTTTCTGATGGTCCCTCACAAAGAACATAATCAGCCATATTCAATAAAAATGGAAAGAAAGGATTCAGTCCCAAGATTTATTCTCTATACTAAGTGAACCTGGCACAACATTAGGTTATAATTTGTCGTTGTAATTGTAATTGTGATTTTTCAGCCCAATTGATGTGTTCATTAGATTTGATTTGTTGGCCGGACACTTGAAACTCACTTTTTTTTTTTAGTATATCACTTTTTTGGCTTTAATATTGATTCCAAGCAAACTTTGCTTTTAGAGGTGTGAGAACTCACTACTTTTTTTTTTTTTTTAAGTTGGGCTGTATTGCAAATACACTAAGTTCCTTGAGATTATCCATCAGTTAAATAAACAATAATGTAGTGAAAGATGTTGCTATAGTAACAGATGAATATGATATGTGAGAAAAGCACAGAGAGAAATTATTTAAATTATTAAATAATTCACAGTAGATTATTTTAATTGTCTGTATGAAATTGGGAAAAGCTGCATGTCTTTCATTTTTATTGGAATAAACAAATCAAATTTATTTGTGACTCTTGACTTTTGACTTGCAGTTTGTATTAGCTAGTATTCATTCCAGACTGATGACTGTTCTCTCAGAGTGAGATTGTTCAGGGAGAGCATATTTACAAGACTTATACAGTGGAGAAAGTGTTTTAAAATATTCATGAGGATAAACCAAATGATGTTAACATACTTAGTCTTATAGTACTACCTGAGAACTTCTAAAAGTTAAGATATTGAAAAGAGGTTCTTGGCTTTCTTCCAGTGATTACAAAGAATTAATTTATGATTTGAAATGTTCAGCAGAATGCCAAAGTCTCCATATGAATTGGGTGAATTAATTTCAAATGCTCTTGGTACAGAGTTCTATTTATGTCCATTTTTAACAGATGTATTATTTTATTTATATTGGCAGAACCCATTATAGAAGATGCCATTGTGTAGAAAGAAAGTTTCGGCTGCCTGGTGTCTCATTTGTGGGGCTGTCGTTAACTGTTTTTTGAGAGACCTATTAGGTATAGTTGGGATTGTAAAGAAATATGACATACACTTCAGCAACTTAAAACATTAGTCAAGGGGGATCCCTGGGTGGCTAAGAGGTTTAGCACCTGCCTTTGGCCCAGGGCACGATCCTGGATCCTGCTTCTCCCTCCTCCTGTGTCTCCGCCTCTCTCTCTCTCTCTCTCTCTCTGTGTGTGTGTCTATCATAAACAAACAAACAATAAATCTTAAAAAAATAAAACAGTCAAGAGCTGAAAGAAATACAGAGATGTTTAGATAGGTTTAGGAACCTATCTCCATATATTTTGACATAAATCTTTAAAATAGTAACTGATAGTGCAGTATCAGCCTGTTTGAAAGAGGCTTATAAAAATGTAAGCATATTTTCTTGTAAACATCTCAAAAGCAGTATAACCTGGCAGGAGATATTAAAGCCATGCTTGTATGTGTGTGTGCTCATGGGCATTGCACACCTGCAGATAGACACACACTGTTAAGAAAACTTTATTTTAAAAAAGATAAGTGCTAGGTATTGAATGGTAATATAAGAAGAATGGACATTGGAGAAAGCCATAACTTGTCCTTGAGGGGTGGGGACAGAAATACAAACCTGATACTGTTCCTGGTTCACTTGGTATAGAAAATAAATCTTCAGCCTGAATCCTTTCTTTCAAGTATTGATTATAGTTTAAGTTGGAAGCAAAGAAGTCAATAGTAGAAAGCTTCAGATATTATGTAATTGACAGGCAAATTAATTCTAATATGAAGACTTCTTGATTCCCTTTCTGTGCTAATTTCCCCTAATGGATGGAGTCATAGAATTTAGAGGTCAGCTAATTAGTCTTCTTGTTTTGCAGTTTGGAAAATTGAGGACCAGAGAAGAAAGACAGGATTAGACCCCAGGTCTTTTGCTTTGTAGTCCATTGTACTTTTTTCATTATGCTATCTTACTTTTCCCCTCACCTCCTTGGTTGAATGTGGCTATGTTGTTTTTCTGCCTCTGGCCTCCAAATTAAATGAACCAGAAGCAGCCTCAGGTTTGCATTTCTGTCATCCTTTATTTAAACCTAATTATTCTGAGGATGTTTGTCCCATTCTCCGTGGTAAAACTCTAGTAGGTAAACTTAGTTTAACAAAAGATTCATAGATTTAGCATCACCTTGTTCTTCCTGCAAAGTGTTTCATGGATTCAAATGTTGTGGATTTGAGTTTTGTTCTCATTATTTCATCTATTCTCTGTGGTCTCTGATGTTTGAATAAAACTAATTTGTACAGGTGTTACAAGCAATGGGATACCCAACAGGCTTTGATGCAGATATTGAATGTATGAGTTCCGATGAAAAATCAGATAATGAAGGCAAAAATGAAACAGTGTCTTCAAACTCAAGCAATAATACTGGAAATTCTACAACCGAAACCTCCAGTACCTTAGAGGTATATTTATATTTTTTTTCTCCTTAGAAAAAAAGGAGTATATGTAGATTGTAGAAAATTTGAGAGATGTGGGAAAGTGTAAATAAGAAAATCAAAAGCATATACAAATGTGTGTATTCCAGAGGCTGCCATTATTAATATTTTGGTTTATTTCCATCCACCCGCTTTTTCTGGGAGTATTTTTGTGAGAGTAGTCATATTTTCATGCAGTTTTACATCTTGTTTTTTTCACTTAACTGTAAAAATATCTGTTAACATAACTGTGTAATGCACAACACATGAATGTCTCCTAATTTAACTAGCATTTTCCTTTTGTTGGCCATGGAAGTTCCAGTATTTCACAGTTAAAATATATCAACAATATCAACAATACCTGAAGAGTGAAAAACCAGAAGATCTAGCAAGGAATATAGGATTATTTGAAGTTTGTGCTGAGCTGTGGGAGGCAGTGGGTCATCATGGAGTTATCTAGCCTTGAGGAAGGCATAACCTGATCTATTGTGATCCTCAGATTCTGAATAAGTCCTGACATATGGGCTTATTGCCACAGATAATAGAATGGGACAGAAATCTTAGTACTGAGTATATACAGTATTTTGGGGAGTTCATGGAGCCCTTATTTACTGCATTCTGCATAAGGAAAAAATATTTTTCATTTGTAGAAATGAGTATTTATCAAAGACTGGACTATAATTTTTTCAGTCTATAAACCTTTTGTAGTGGCTGCTTACTGGCAGATGCTGCAGAAATTGTGTTCAGAGCCTCAAGATGTTCTCAGGCTAGAAGCACAAAAGACATGTTCATAACTAATTATAATGTAATGTGATAAGTACCACGATGGCAAAGTGAATATAATAATGTAAAACTCAAAAGAGGAAGTGATTAGGAAACTTAGACATCTATAAAATCAAAGGGAGTAAAATGTGAGTGAGGTTTTAAGTAATGAGTAAGATTTTTGCTATGTGGAGAAGAGGTGGGAAGAAAGCATTCTGGATCAGAAGAATAGGAGGTATAATGACCTGAAATTGTGAAAATACATGTTGAGAAGTGCCAGGTGGGCCAATATGGAGGGTCAGATGGAGGCTGAGGCCTGTGAAAGCCTCGCCTGACTTTTTATGTGGTACTATGGAGGAGCCCTGGCACCTGGCTTTTGAGAGGACCAGTCATTCACAGGTGATTAGTGTGGGCTCATTAATAGCTGTGTGTACATGTGTGTACAGAGCTTCTGGTAGGCACACATCTGTGCCTTGTTTCTGTAGAATGTAGTAATGGCAGGGGGGCTGGCAGAAAGAAAGCCCTTATTCTTCATTTGAAATTAAAATATTAAAATGCAAATATTTGTATCTCTTGACTCATAAAAGTGATTTCAGATTTGGAAAGCAGAGAGTGATTACCATAGACCTAGTTTCACAAATTACTCATTACTTGTAAAAGATGGAAACTGGAAACTTGCTTTGAAATTTAAAAAATGTAGATTACAAAACCTCTTCAAGAAGTGAGGGTTTTTTTTTCTTTTTTATTGAAGAATACCCAGGCATGTTCGTTAAGCTTGTCTTGAAAAGTTGTCCAGTGTTTCATTTCTTTCTACAGCATTAGCCACTTCTCTCTCTCTCTCTCTCTCTCTTTTGCATTAGCCACTTCTCAAATCAGTATGGAATAGTTTTACTAAGAGAATCGTGCTGTCCATTGGGAATGATTGTTTGAGGCATTCATTATTTCTTCTTCTTCTTTCTTCTTTCTTCTTCCAGGATTTTATTATTGATGGGGAGGGGGTGGAGAGAGCAGCGAGCAGGAACAGGGGGAGGGGCAGAGGGAGAGGGAGAAGCAGGCTCCTTGCTGAGCAGGGAGACTGGTGTGGGGCTCAAGCCCAGGACCCTGGAACCATGACCTGAGCTGAAGGCAGACACTTAAACCCACCAAACCACCCAGGCATCCCTGGGGCATTCCTTTCCTTGTTCAGCGTTTCTTGAGCAATTACTATGATAGAATTATAGACATGACCTTTAACCTCAAAAAGTGCTCAATCTTTGGGTCTTTCCATTCTTGAAATTATAGGTACGTATTTTGTGATTTGTTTTGTTTTTGGTGCTGCAGTCTCTTACATTTGAGCCTTTACATTCCCGCATGAATTACTTATTTTCCTTACTCTAGTCTTAATCTTTCCTCAAATCAGTTCTTCTACTCCTGGAATGATTTTTCTACAACACAAATCTAATCATGAACTTTCTAGAATAAAGTCTCTCTGGCTCCCCATAGTTCATGATAAAGTCAAAGCTTATTTGCATGGCATGCAAAGTCCTTTATGAATTGGCGCCATCAAGGGCTTTTCTAGTCAGAGCCTATCTTCCTATGAGATATATAGGAATTATGAGATATATAAAGGAGATATTCCACTCCCTTATATAGCCAAACTGTGCTTCTTATCATTTTCTGAACACATGTTCTTTGCTTCTCTTGGGTCTTACCATGGCTGTTTCTTCTGTCTAGAATGCCCTTCTTCTTTGTTCCCACCTTATCATGGTCTAGTGCTTGCCTCTTTAAGGTTAGGTTTGCATGTCACTTCCAGGAAAACTATCCTGATTGCTCTAGAAAATGATTACTTCTTCTGTGGTTCCATAACATACACTGTCTTACAGTGATTATGTCTGTCCCTCCCACTATACTCTAGCTCCTTAGAGCAGGGAGTGACTGCTTTTATTCTTATTTTTAAATTTCAGAATCCATACATAGTCTGTATCCTACTGGTTTTACCTTAGGTGCCCTTAAGTCTCTTTAAGAGAGAATTGAGAGCTGTGTAGGAACATTTTCTTCCCATCTCCCAAATTGAGATTTATTTCTTCCTAACTCTAAAGATGAAAAACAGTGAACAGTCATGTGTTATGTGAATCTCAGCTGTTCTGTCCACTTTGTTAGTCATTGAAAGTATTATTCTCATATGATGAATACACAGAGCAGACCCTAGAGTGCCATGTAATGGCAGGGCCACATTGCTCTTGAATACTGTTGAGACAACCCTACTTTAGAGGCAAGCTGGCTAGATGACTGACTGCCATGTTTATTGCTTGTAGAGTTTCCATACCTTTAAAGATATTTTGCCATTCATATGTAGAGGTGATCACACATCCTGGCCCCTAAATGCTTTAAAGTGTAATTTTTGAGCCTCTTTTCAACAGAAATGTAGTATAATTGTATTAATAAGAAATTTAATACTCTAAAATCTTACTTGATTGAACCTCCTTTTAGGTAAGAACTCAGGGCCCTATCCTCACAGCAAGTGGCAAAAATCCCGTAATGGAGCTCAATGAAAAAAGAAGAGGTCTTAAGTATGAACTCATCTCGGAGACTGGTGGAAGCCATGACAAACGCTTTGTAATGGAGGTGTGTACCTAGATTCAAGCCAACTTTACTTTTCCCCTCAAAGATAGAGGCTATCCTGAGATTACATGTAAAAATAGTTTTAGAGTGAATTCGTGTGGCACTATTTGACTTTTGGTGTGTTCTGTGTTGTGATATATTTAAATTAAAACTACATAGAGGAATCACATGGGATAATTGCAGAGTGTTGTTCTTGATTTTAGGTAGAAGTAGATGGACAGAAATTCAGAGGTGCAGGTCCAAATAAGAAAGTGGCAAAGGCAAGTGCAGCTTTAGCTGCCCTGGAGAAGCTATTTTCTGGACCCAATGCAGCAAATAATAAGAAAAAGAAGATTATCCCTCAGGTATGAGTTAAGTGTTGAACCTTTGCAATACTTCTGAAAAATATTACCAAAATTAAATTTCTTTTTCTGTCTTGGTGCCACTTTAGCTTTTCCTGAAGTTGTTTCTTTTTCTTGCATTTGGCATCCTTTTCTTTGGGTTAAATCGTGAATACTGTAATATTCCCTGTTCTTGGTCGTAGGCAGATGATAGATTAAAAAGAGGCTGTTAGCATTGTTTGGGGGTTTTAGGCCCTCTCAGTGAGGCGGAATGTTGAGGGATCTGGACTTTAATGAGATATTAGCATTTGTTGAGGGAAGCTGCCAGGAATATAGGGGCTTACTTTCAGCAGTCTGCAGGTGTACTTCTATTTCCTTTCCAGTTTTGTCCTTTTGCATTATTTATTTTGTATTTTCCTTTGAGGGTGGCACAGTAGAACTTGACCCTATATCACTTCTGTTCATTCCTGACAGTGGGTGAATCAGTCCTGCTGAAGGCCCAGGATTGTAACAAGGTGTTTAGAAAAGACGGCTTCCTAATTACATGCTATTGGGTAACAGATTCTTCTGTCCATTCATTTATTCATTCAAAAATATCTTGTAGTCATATTCTATGTGCATGATTGTGAGGGCAGAAGAGATACGTTATTGAATATAAGACGCACTCTCCCTGGTGGAGAGTGCTGGTGTGATAATGTCTGAATAGATTATGTGATAGAGACAAGTCAATTGAAAATGTTTAGACTCCTAGAAAGAAGCTTAGATTATTCAGGATTCTGAATGAAACAGTTTTAGTTTCTTTTACATAGGCTGAGTCCACCGGCAGAGGGTAGTGTTGATCTTATTTTATAGATGAGGGATCGAGGCCCAAAGAATTACAGACACTGCCTCTACTACCACAGCCAACTAATGATAGGGTCTCTTTCAGCTAAGGTCTCCTTCCAAAGACCGTGGGCATTCTGTTACATATTAGAGCCCATCATAGAAGTTTGTCCTGTCTTGTACTTATTATAATAAACATTGCTTAAATTCAAAGATTCAAAACATAACCGAGGAGAACTAACTTTTACTGAGATGAAATACAAGTAAAGCATTTAAATTGCATTGATACACATGAGAAGTGGTTTTATTTCCCTAAAACCTTCCAGGAAATGTGCTAAATTAGTAGAAAGATAATTGTTACCTTGTTTCTTTTGGTGTGTTTTTACCACGAGTTACATCGTGTATTGGGTCAGTTAATTTTAGTGTTTAAAAAGTGAGTGCAGATACTTAGTAGGTAGTTAAGTTTGCTTCTAGTAGATATGAGCTTGATTTTTGTGGAGTCACTCTGTTGCTGCCAGATTGTTACTTCCTGACTACTTGGACTGAACCATGTTAAAAAAAAAAAAAATGTCTGCATGAGGTTCACCCATTTTTAGAAATTTTCCATACTAGAAGCTCTAAAAATCATGTGTTCAATGTGTTTGACAGCCAGGAGGCAGTCTATTTTGGATGTGTGGGTTACATTTTTTTTTTCAGCCAAATAGAAAAATGGCTGTTCCCTGTGCATGATACATTCGACCTTGAAACTGTCCTCTCCCCTGTTATGCTAGTGGTAGAGGCGCTCCCGTGAGGAATAAAAGATGATGGCTTTTCAATGTGAGATGAATGTGTGTGTGCTCTGAATGTTTAAGCTGTTTGAGCTCTTGCTGACTTTATTCCACAGTGAACTTTGAAGCCCTACACCTTGGATATAGTAGGGAATTCTGATAGTTTTCAGTTTGAGTTTTTGTTGTGTCTTTATATTAAAAAGATAAGTATAATGTTTCATTTAAAATTAGATATTCTTGATTTTCTTAAAATTTCAGTTTTAGAAAGGGATATTTTAGCAGCCCTCTATTTTGTTTATCCTTACTTCGCTGACTTCTCAGAGTTTGCCGTTTTCTCAGTTGCTCTTGTCTGAAGTAAAGCAAAGTGGCTGTTGTTATCCTGACTGCACAATTAGTGAGAGACTCCAATAGACACAGAGATTTGTGATCTTACTAGAGTCCCATGGCCTTTTAGAGCCAGAGGGGACTTAGAAGTGGTATTTATTTAATGATTGGTCCATGCACGTATATACGTACGCATACAGCAGAAGATACAGACTCAGAGAAGTCACATGACCTTCCTAGAGTTCTCATTTTTGGTCTTCCTTCATAGTTTTTTTTTTTTTTTTTTTTTTAAATTCCCCTCTGGTTCACAGCTAATTCTTGGTGGTTTGTTTTGTGGTAGTTTTTGTCTGTGGGCAGAGAATTCAGTGGATTTCGAACCTAGGTATCAAATGTCTAGAAGTACTTTAGTCAGGCCTGAAATGTAATGGACAAAATATGACTACTGAAATTCATGTGTAAAAGATGAACTCTTTCTGAGTAACCCTCAAGTGAAAAGAAGTTATTTGCATACTTTTATGTGCCAGCATACTTTCCAGAACAGCTCTGTAAGGTAGGTGTCATTTTTCCTTAACAGATGATAAATTGAAGGTTCAAGGTCATAGACCGACTCACTGACTTATCTACAGGCTTAGGTTTCTCATAGAGGTTGTGCATTAGAGAGATGATGGGATGTTAGTTCTTATTTCTCTCAGTAATGAAAATGTGTTATTTTTAACAGGCAAAGGGTGTTGTGAATACAGCTGTGTCTGCAGCAGTCCAGGCTGTTCGGGGCAGAGGAAGAGGAACTCTGACGAGGGGAGCTTTCGTTGGGGCTACAGCTGCTCCTGGCTACATAGCTCCAGGTATGTATGGTACAGCTGCCTCTTCCGGGCCAGACTTTGAAGAACAGCATCTCGTTTATTTTCCAGGGTGATACACAGGCCCAGAAAACCTAGCACGGGTATGAGATGGGTGTGAAAGTCAAAAGAGGAGAATCTACCGAATGTCATTGTTTTCTCCTGGAACCTGCTGAGTGCCTAGAGGCTCCCTGGAGGGAGATGACAGATGAGGAATATTGCCCTTGGTTTCGGGGATGTATTTTGGCAATGAGGAAGCTAACAGATACTACACAGGGTTAGGAGTGCAGCTCTGCAAGCAGGAGGTGTCAGGGGGGACATAGTGGCTGGCTGGGTAGAAGAGAGGGAAACTGCTGGCAAGGAACTCCCTTGTCAGGGTGAAGCCTAGTTCTAATAACATTTCTTTAACTTAGCGTTTGGGATCCAGCAAAGGTCTACAGAAGTACAAAACGAGAAAAAAAGGAGAAACTTATTTATCCAGAGCTGGCTATACAGCAGACACTTTTGCGTAAATGATTTCATGTCATTGTTTTTTAATCTTCACAGTGTTTCCTCAAGTAGAAATTGTTTCCATTTTCCAGGGACGGGAACCAAGGTTTAATGGGAGGAGACAGCTAGCTCAGTCTGAGACACATTGAGAACACCAGAGCAGGGATTTGAATGTAGGTGTTTGCAGTTCCAGAGTTTATGTTCTTTGCATTTCACCAATATGGCTTGAAGGAGATGGGAAGAGATGCCCTCCTTCTGCCTTCTGTTTTAATACTTATATCATCTCGGCAGTAGATGTCAGCTTCTCATTCAAGTCATGTCGTCTGCCGTGTTGAACGTATGGAACTTCTCACTTAATAAGTAAACTGCTTGTAATTGTTGATAGGGGTGAAACTCACAAGGATTGGATCTTACTCTGTCATTATTTTGTATGTAACATTGCTGAAAAGTTCACTTAGATTGTGTCTTTTCTCTTTTTCTTTTCTTTTCTTTTCTTTTCTTTTCTTTTCTTTTCTTTTCTTTTCTTTCTTTCTTTCTTCTTTTTTTTAAGATTTTATTACTTATTCATGAGACACACAGAGAGAGGCAGAGACATAGGCAGAGGGAGAAAAGCAGACTCCTCACAGGGAGCCCAATGCGGTACTCGATCCCGGATTCCGGGATCGTACCCTGAGCCGAAGGCAGATATTCAACCACTGAGCCACCCAGTCATCCCATCTTTCTTTCTTTCTTTTTTTTTTTTTTTTTTTTAAAGAAGGAGTTAGAATAGGCTACTGGGGAAGTTCTGTGGATGATGTGGTTTTGGAATTTATTTGTAGGAGTTGATCCCAGTAGGGGCATAGCTCAGAAATGTGTCATGTAATGAATATATTCGCTCATTCAAATGTCATGTGCCTACTTTAGTATTTTACTGTCGTGCAGCATATGATCTAAAGGTGAGACATGCTGATGAGATAGTCACAATTTTCAACTGAGAAAGTGTGATGAAGGAAGGACAAGGGTGTGTTCTATGAGAGGATGTAACAGAGAAACGATCTAGGCTTTGGGGCCTGAAGGCCTCCCCCAAAGAAGTGACAGTTGACCTGAGCTTTGTAGAATGAGAAGGTGTTAACTTGGAGAAGACTAGGGTGGAAGAGTGTTGCACACAGAGGGAACAGGATGTGCAGAGACCCTGTGCTGCTGGGCCAGGGAACTTGGCTGGTAAGGATTAGAAGGAGGCCAGATGTCTGTAGTATGGAGAGCACTGTGTGTTTTGGGTGGGGGATTGTAGGGAGAGACACAACAGGGACAGGGAGTGATTTGAGCTAAAGCTAGACGCTCAGTCCCAGTTCTGGAGGCCAAGGTTTGGATTTTGGCTTTAGAATGTTAAATGCAGTGGGAAGTCGTGAAGGATTCTAAGGAGAGAAGTGACAACATCAGACTTTTTTTGTAAAGATCATCATCTATAGTGTGAAGAATAGATTGTAGGAACAGAAGTAGCTGTGAAAAGACAAGTTAGAAGGTTCTGGTAAACTTATAGTTCAGACCAGAGACAGTGCAGGTATCTCTAGTGGGTGCAGGGAAGCAGATGGGCAGCAAGAAGCAACCACACTGAAGACGTACTGCAGAAGCACAATTAATGGATTTAATATGGAGAATGAAAAAGAGGGAGGTTTCAAGGATTTCTACCAACATTTTTAGTGAGACGAACTGGGTCAGTAACTGTGTTGTTTTTAAGGAGATGGAGAATGCTTAAGGATGAGATGGGAAGGAGGGAGAGGGGAGAGGAAAAGGTTCATTGCTGTTTGATTCTGTTTATAGGTCTCAAATTAAGACACTCTTCTGTGGGCAGCCCCGGTGGCCCAGTGATTTAGCGCCACCTCCAGCCCGGGGTGCGATCCTAGAGACTGGGGATCGAGTCCCTCATCGGGCTCCCTGCATGGAGCCTGCTTCTCCCTCTGCCTGTGTCTCTGCTTCTCTCTCTCTCTCTCTGTGTCTGTCATGAATAAATAAATAAAAAATCTTTTAACAAAAACTTATTTAAAAAAAAAAAAAGACACTCTTCTGTGCACCTCACTATTTCTACTGATATTTAATATTCTTTTGCTTCATTCAATCATTATTTAAAGGAATCAGCTTTTATTAAAAAATGATAGGTAAGTTACTGAGATGAACTTTCTTGCCTTTGATTACATGTTCGGTGGGGGCTTCATCTGTCTGGGAGCATCTGCAGTTGCTTGGTCATGGACACTTAGGCACCTATCATGTAGTGGCAGTTATTGTGAAAGGCATTATGTGTGTGTCTGCTGGTTGCCAGGCTCGTTGGCTCTATAGTAGCTTTTCTCTTATGTCATCACATTGACCTCTGTGAAAGGCTTTTAAAAATGAAGCTTTTAAAAATGAAGTTCTCTTATAGCTCAGAGAAGATTCAGATTAGGTCAATTAGATTATGAATAGGTTATATGCCATTTGCAGTGTATTCTGTGCAGCAGGGACTGTAGTATTTTTACATACATTATTTAATTACATTCCCCTGCCAACTCAATTACTGTAAGACTGTGAGGCTCAGAGCAGTTAAATAACAGGCACAAAGTCACCTTGCTAGTGAAAGTGAAGTTGGGGTTGAAACCCCACAGCCTGATCAGTGGTGAGTTTAGTAGTTGTAGTTTTGTATCTCTTTAAGGAGATTTTGGTGAAATGCTTAAAACTGTGGCCTTAGTCATCCAGCTAGCTCCCTTTTCCTCGAATAGATTTGATGTGCAAACTTTTTATTTTATTTTTTTAAAGATTTTATTTATTTATTCATGAGAGAGAGAGAGAGAGGCAGAGACACAGGCAGAGGGAGAAGCAGGCTCCATGCAGGGACCCCGACGTGGGACTTGATCTGGTTCTTCAGGATCAGGCCCTGGGCTGAAGGCGGTGCTAAACTGCTGAGCCACCTGGGCTGCCCTATGCACAAACTTTTTAAAGTATTAATTTGTCTTTTGGCCTCTACTACTGTTCCTGCTGCTGCTTTCAGCTGCATTATATCCTTTTGAAATGCAGATTTAGGGAGTACTAAAGACTAAGGCTACGTTGTACTGTCCCCAGTTTTATGTGACATAAATATAGACTAAAAAGTGAAAATTTACATCTCTCGGGAAATGTTTCATTTAGTCCCTAAAAGCAGTTTACTTATTCAGCATACACTTGAGTGTTCTATTTCAAGTAAGAGATTTGAATCTGGGCAAAGATGACTGACTTGCGCCTGCCCCAGTGAATGCTTGGGGTCATATGGGGCAGGAACAGACCATTGCTTCTGTAAACACTGTGCAATATGATGCAATCTGTAACATGAGGTGGGGAGGGGGCACAAAGGAGTGAGCAGCAAACCCAGGAGACTTCACAGAGGAGGTGATGCTTGGTTCTGATCTACAGGATGCATTGCAGTTGGGCAGCTAGAGAAGTAGAAAAAAAAAATCATGGCAAGCAGCAGAATGATTATAGAAGAAGGGCTTATAATATTAAAAAGGCTTGATTTGTTTCAGGTAGTGTGAAGGGCCCATGTAGATTTTGTTCCATTTTAGAAACCAATTTCCCTAAAAATTTACCCAAGCAATTTAGTATTTATATTTTTTGGAATTATTTTATTGAGAGATTCAAGATTGTGGCTTCTGTATCACAGTATTTCTAATCCCTACAACACTATAAAGTAACTTGGAAGGTTTCTCATTTTGCAGGCATGAAAAGGCAACTCAGAAGTTAAATGTTTAAGGACATATAAGAAACTAGTGCTAGTGATGAGATGAATTATACTATATGTTGGCAAATTGAATTTAAATAAAATATTAAAAAAAATTTTAAAAATTAGGAAAAAAAAAAAAAAGAAACCAGTGCCAGAACAAATTGACTTAAAAACTTCTCTGTTCTTTAGACTTGTTTTTATTGACAATATGTGCCTTCTTCACAGGTACCAGAGTCTAATGTCAGTTTTGCCAACATTTACTGAGAGACCCTGTGCTGGGGCCAGGAATTCAGATACCAGGCAACATGGACCTTGTCCACGAGCCCACAGCCCAGTTCACACACCCATTTCAGTAGCACTTGAGGCTTCAGCCTACCCTGTCACTGCTTTCTGAAGAGACCTGGAAAGTTCTGTTTTCTAGCTTTAAAGAAATTGGTAACTTGGGTGATTCAGAGTTTAGAGAGAAGAGACAGATTTTTTTTTTTTTTAAGATTTTATTTATTCTTGAGAGACATAGAGAGACAGACAGGCAGAGACACAGGCAGAGGGAGAAGCAGGCTCCATGCAGGGAGCCAGACGTGGGACTCAATCTCAGGTCCCCAGGATCACTCCCTGGGCTGAAGGCGGCCCTAAACCGCTGAGCCACGGGGGCTGCCCGAGAGGAGACAGATTTGTTCAACAAATTATACTGAGTTGTTACTATGTTACTACTTGGCCAGACCTCCTGCCAAGTTGAGGTGATACAAAAGTGTCTAAGACTTGGTGTCTGTCACTCTATGGGAGACACAGACAAGGAGCTGATAGTTATAACACAATGTCATAAGTGCAACGAGAAAGACAGGATATTCTGGTAGGTCAGGAGAATCTTATAGGTTGTGGGGAAAAAAGCTTCCATGCTAAGCAGGAATGGAGGGTTTGGGGTATTCTGAGAATGGTTCTCATTCATCCAAATATCTGGAAGAAGTCTTCAGGGCCCGAGGTGCTGGGCCAGTCAGTACTTGTGAATACTGATTAGTTGCCCTTTGTTCTGGACTGATCTGCTTTCTTCTTTGCACTAGGCTATGGAGCACCGTATGGTTACAGCACAGCTGCCCCTGCCTATGGTATGTACACCATCTTTCTGATTTCTCCTCTTAGCAATGCTGTCACAGCAGTCTAAAGCACAGTTTGTATCCAGGGTTTCTTTAAATGAAATGGAGGATCTCAGACCTATTCATTCTAGTGACCCAACTTAAATTCCCTTTGAAAACGCCACAACCTTGTGGTTCTTGGTTTGGTTGGAGTTGCTCTTCTCTCTGCTTTGCCTGATTGAAGGACTGCTTGTTCTAATTGCCTGTTTCTGAACATACTGAAATTAAATATTTTAAGTAGTTCTTCTTACAGCCAACTTACACTCCATTCAAAGGCTACTGAAGGGCCATATCCGGTTTCCAGCTCAGCTGCTTGCCGGTTACATGGCTGCATTGAAGTTTCTGGCTTGAAACTGTCTAGGTGACTTGAGTTAGGGTTAGGAAATGTTCACTTCAAATTTGTAGCCATCATCTATTTCCATAAATTTTGCCTTAGAGGTGACATAAATGGGCCTTAGCGTGGCGATGGGGTGTCACCAGCAGTGTTACTGAAGTGCTTACTGCACAAAGTCTGTGGTACATGTTATAAAATCCTAGGAGTGTCTCCTCTCCCTCCAAAAATAAAAAATAAAAGCATCTGCAGAAATGAACCTCAGTGGCCCTTTGGATAACTTTTGAATGAGGTTTATGTGGCAATGGAGGCAGTAGGTTTGGAGTCAGTGATATGCCCTTTTAGACATTTTCCCTAACTCAGGCGCTACATGTTATAGGTCAGCCATCTGCAGGATATTTGCCATTGGAGAAGAAGAGAGCATGTGTGCGCACGTGTGAGTGTGTATTGGTGTGACCCTGGGCTGGGCGTGCATGTGCATAGCGGGGAAGGACTTTGAATATCCTAGTACTTGTGGCATTAGTCCTCCACACGAGCCTCAGGACCCTTCATTATGCTTTCTCTCTTCATGCATCAGCTTTTCCATTTTTGTTCAGATGAAAATGATGGATGGGTCCTTAAGACACTGCTAAATGGAAGCTTCATTTGATTTCATAACTGTAAAAAATAAGTAGAAAGTGAACTGTTTTACCACTTTCCCCATTAAGATAGACTGGAAAGATGTGGAGAAACTGCAAGGGTCAAACATTTGGGGTGAGTCTTCTCTATGGCAAAGTGCCACGTCTGGGGTTTCATCCTTGACCTGAATGTCTCCTCTGGAATGGTCAGGTTTGCTCAGGGCTTCCCCAGATTTCCCAGATTCTCAGATGTGGGGTACTTAGGAACTGAGAATGCATTCGAAAAAATGTTTTCACTGAGAATTTCTTATAAATTCAAATTCTCTAGCTCCTTTTGTTTTGGCCATTTGCCTTTACCATGCAGTCAGCTTCTGGATATCCTGACCACCTCATCTCTCCTGTGAATTAGGTCTGGGCAGTTGATACAAGTACATTTTGACTCACTAGTCCCATTGTAGTATGTCTTGTGTGAGCGCCAAAGCATCTGCCTTCTAGGGCAGATTGTTAATTCTGTGTCTTTCTTTCAGACATAGTTAAGTCTCACGTTCTTTAGTATAGGTTTACTAGAGCTCAGTTTTCTCTTTAGGTTTTAAGCTGCATTCATGTTTTTCCTCAATCTTTAATTTTTCTCTCTTGTTCCTCCCTTTCCTCTAACATTATACTTTCACCTTGCGGCCTCTGAGCCCTCATTCAGAAGGCTCTTCTCTTCCATGTGCCATATAACTGACTTCCAAAGCTGGTGAAATTTGATGCCCCCATTTTTCACATAAAAGATTTGGTTTTTAAATGTTACTGTGATGCCAACCTACTAAAACAATGCTTTATTTTGGCTGTAAGGTAAATATGTCTTTTGGCCTTTGTAAAGCTGTTGCATGTGGGGTAATTTCCCTCTGATCATCTGGTGCTCTTGAATACCTGCTGTTGCTGCTTTGTGATTTCTCCATAGGTTAAATACTAGAATAGAGATAGAGCAGATTTCAAATCATGCTTGAGTATGCAGAAGTTTGTGAGGCCACAAGAACTCGTTCATTACAAAATTAAGAAAGTAGTTAATCTTTCCAGATTTGCCATGCCAATACCAGCAGTAGCCATTAAGAAGACAAATACCTGGTCACAGCTCCAGTTGGAGCTTCTTTCTGAGGAGCTGAGACCTGCACAGAGAGCTGTGCTTTGGGTCTTGACAGTCATCCCTGTTTTTCTTATAATACACAATGTGCCAAAATGAGAATGATTATGGATTCCTAGAGTCCCTTTAGAATATTAATCAGTAGCATTGCTTTTGATCTTTAGAATTCATGGCCACTCACACAAATGAAATTGCTTTCTGAATATCATTCATCCTGTGATACAGCCATCTTAATTTCAAAAATACTATCAAAATGTTAGCAATTTCAAAATAGGAGATCTCTGAGAGGTTTGTGGGTCTCCTCCAAAATGGTTCATGTTGACTGACTAATCTGGAAAAGGTTAATGATCAATGATTTCTGTAAGATATTTTTTTACCTGAAATTTTTATTGGATTATTAAACTTATTTGGAGTCCTCTCCGTTTCTTTTCTCTGTAGGTTTACCCAAGAGAATGGTTCTGTTGCCCGTTATGAAATTCCCAACATATCCTGTTCCCCACTACTCATTCTTTTAGCAAATGACAGAAGCTAATTCCTATTGAACAACAAATACAGTACAATACAGAATGTTAGAGAAAAAGCCTTTTTATCCTGCTTTCTTTGAACACATACTTGATCAAAATTATTTGTAAAGAACATCTTTCCTACTTTTTGATTTTAACAAATGCAAATTTAGTTCTCTAAAACTTGAAAACCAACAAAAAAGAAACTAGTTCTGTGAAACGGTACCTCATTTCCGGAAAATAACTTATACCAGCCCTTCTGTTCTAGGGAAATAAGTCTAGCAGTTCAAAGTTTAAGTTTTAAGAGGAGTATCAGATTATGTAAAATTTGTGAAGGATGTATAGAGTCTCAAACACTGATCACAAATAAACTGCTTTGTTGTAACACAGAGTACTGCCTGGTTCCTGATGCAGTCACTGATTCTTAGCTCTGATTGATATGTATTTGCCCCAGGGCACTTGAATTTGGGCTGTAGTTATTTTTTTTAATACAATAGAGACTTTTCTTTTAAACTTTAACTTTGTAAATATTGAAGTGTGTAATTAAAGCCAATAAAATATGGGTTTGAATATTGTTTTAGCTTATTATTTTTGATATGTTTTGGTATCAAATTATAAGGATTGAAAACTAATCAGTTAGCCCTAGAAACCCATTGATTTGTAAGGAAACTGCTAAAACAAAGCAAAAGGCAATTGTTAGTTCAAGCCAGTCTATTTACTTTGTAAGCCCTTTGTACAGCTGGACAAGGGCATTCCCATGATAAAGGTATATTCTGTTATTGGAGCATTGCTTAGTAAAATGATGGCACTACCCAGAGATGGGCAAGGAGGAATGTGATTAATTTAGTTTCCTAATTTCCAAGTTTTAAAAGAGAATAAATTAATCAATCAATCACCCTCTCTTGTTCTTGTGGCCTTCTTCACTCTGTAAGATACTGTGTTCACTTCCCTGGCTTTTTTCATGCAGATAGAAGATTAGCGATTTTTCTGGGATTCATTGAAAGGTCTCTTTTCCTCTTCAATTACATCAGAATCTAAAGCAGCAACAGGGTCCCCATAAAAACTTGCTCTTCAATTGTCCCAGTTCTTGTTGAGTGCTGCTGTGAAAAGTGACAGGTTTCAGCCATGGGTCAGCATTTATTTTTAAGTTTTTCTTAAAATTTATCTGATTAAGCTGGTGAAAAACGATCAGTCGGTAACGTTGTGCTGTCCTGTAAAGGGTGCAGACCTGAGCCTTCCCCTGCATTCTCGCCTTGTTTGGAGAGCCTCTGATATTACTAGAAGGTAATGGTTTCATTAAGGTATTCACCCCCATGAAGGCACCAGTGTGGTCCCGTGTCGATATTTATAAGTCGCTGTGTCTTAAAAATGTTTGTTTTTAGTACAAATTAGCTTCTTTCTTTCCTCTTAAGTTCTGTTTCTCAGAGCCAAATAGTGCCCATCAGTGAGAATGGGCTTCACAAAATAAGGCAAATTTATGTACCATATTTCTTTGGGACCACTAAATGAGAATGAGATAGGCAACTTAAAACAAATGTTAGTGTCATTTCTCAGATGTGGATTTATTATACAGTGGCTTGTTGCTTCTGCTCCTTGACCTTTAGTCTTTATTAGTGGTGGGTGATACTTTAATAAAACCTCATCACTTGCTAGAAATAGCTGTGAACTTACCATTCTCATCCTGTGCATTAGTGGCTAGACATAAACCAGAGGGCCCATTGCAGCTGGGAGTTGTCATGTTTCATTGATTCATTTTGCTGACCTATGGATGAAACAGAGCCATCACTGAGAAGAAAAAGCATGGCTGGTAATGTCCAGTTTTTATTAATTCAATATTTACAATAGTCCTCTCTGTGTTTGGAATACTATTAATTGGCAGCTGCAGCCAGATTGTTATTTGAAATTGATTGTCAAATTTGCATTCCAAGTTGGAATCTCTCTGGAGATTTCTCTTTAGAAAATTCTTTTGAAGTAGCTGACTCAGCTTCATAATTTAACCCCTCTATGATGGTGAAAAGGGAGCTGTGCTGTTTTCCAACATGATGGCAGTCATTTCAAATGGTTTCTACCAAGTCTTTTTTTTTTTTTAATTTTGTTGTTTGTTGGAAGTTACTAACCATGTTGTAAACCTGCCCAGTTGCTGCAAACTTTTACATTTCTCTGCTTTACTTAAAATAATTGAGCTGTCAAGTCCTTTGTTAGAAGTGGTAACCATGCAAGTTCAAATGTTTAAATTTTGTAATGAATTAAGTGTCCCCCTCCCCCCTTCTGCCCTTCCCACCCCTCCATTTTGTAATGAAAATTCCACTTACAGCTGAAAGAGCAGAGAAATATAAATGAAGCTCTTGGCTTCACCAAATTCTGTGACATTAACACCAAGTGTTGCTTCTCTGCTCTTTTCTCCACTGTAGGCGGTTTTTTCATTGACAGCCCCTATTGCCAGCCTCTGAGCGTCGCGCCACTTATTATTCACTTGGGCCCTCAAGATTTCTTCTCTGACTTCTAGAACCATCAGGTTGTCTGGCTTGAAATGGCAATTTCTGTTTTGGTCTTAAGAGCATTGTGACCCCCTGAGGCTTTCCAGCTATCAGATACACCACTCTGACACCTTCTTTTGGAAAGCAATGACTGAGCATTTTAAAGAAGAGCAATACTTTATTCAAAGCCACGGTGTCTGTTTTAAAACTCTTCCTTTGGAAACCTAGCAATATCTGTACTTAACCCCTCCTAGCGTAGTCTCTTGTCAGGGAGTTTACAGACCAGTGTAGAACTTAGAATCAGTATGTGAGTTGTGCTATCTCCTGACAGTTTTTAAACTTTTGTAGCACATAAATTGGGTAGTTGCATTCCTGACTGCGTCAGTTAGCGCTATTATAATTTCTCAGAGATAGGGGTCCTCCTTGAAGCCATATTCTTTGCATGGGGGTTGGTGCCCAATCAGGGATGTGGCCTGCAGCTTGGGTCCCTTCTGGTTGCAGGAGCACCCCCTCTCTTGTGCAAGGTAATTGGTCCAACAGATTCCCAACATACCTCATGCTGACTAGATGCAGTGCATGGTGCGTGCAGCAAGGAGTCCCAAGTCGTTTGTAGTCTCTCTGAAATCGTTAACCTGGGAACAAACCACTGATAGATTTTTCTGCTATTAGCCTTTCCTTCTTTTTTTAAAATTTGGGTGAATGTGTGAAAATTATGAATCAGTCAGTCACCGTTATTAATTGAAGAGCTGGGAATACCTCGTTAATGTATTTTTAAAACTGGTGTTGGACCCTCTGTGTATTTCAGGTTAATACTTTTAAGCAGTTTTCAGCACGTTTATCTCACTTTATTCTCGTTCTCCTCGGACCTTCGTAGCCATATCACTTGTATAAAATAGGCTGAGATCTAGTGACTGTAAGCTGTGGTCTCAGTAAACAAAGGTAAGCTCTTTTATTTTCTGATTAAAGAGAAAACTAACTAAAAGTCAATAAACACAACGTGCATTTATGACAATCATACAGGATGTATTTGATCTCTCTTAGGTCTTATGTCATCATATTACCTTTAAAATTTTTATGATCTAAATGTAAAATAGTAATTTTTAGTATTTGTTTTAATACCCTTGTAATTACTTTTTATTCAAGAGAGACATTTCACTTTTACAAGTTAAATGTGTATATGTATGTAGAAACTTATGATATTACATATATGTGAATTACACACACGGACCTGTTTGAATAAAAGAATTTGGTGGTGGGAAGAGTTCACCTGAGAAGACTTTAACGTCAGGGCATTCTTTTGGCCAAAGTGCTAGAATTTCATAAGCAGCAAGATTGGTAACAGTGCTGGTAGGATCCATTTATATATGTAGCTGTTACACAAGCAGAGGATCAAAGTGCCAATTTCTCAAGGGGAGAAACTTCTCTGAGAAATGAAAATTTCTGATCTGTGTTGTACGCCCTAATACAACAGCAGCAAGAAGCCATAAAAAGAAAAAGCAATAGAAAATGAAAAAAAAACCCCAAAATATTAAGGTAACTATGGAAAAATATGTAATTAAGCTATTTGCAGAACCAACTTTGGCAAGACTCAGAATGGTAAATACCCAGTCTGCAGAGACCAAATAGACCTAAGGTAATTCATCTGTCTTTTCCAGGTTAGGTAGCTAGATGATTATTTCCCATCTTACTCAACCATCATGGAATTCATTTAAAAGATGTGAGGGTTAAGCCAAATATTTTAGTAAGGGTTTGCTTGATTTAGTGTGTTCCCTGAATACATTTCATATGTGTTAGATGTTCTGTGCTGAGGCCGTATATGATATATAGAGATTAAAATGAATTTTATGTTTTATATGTCTCTAAGAAGCAGTTTTGTTTTTATTACTAATTTTGAAGGTTGCTGGAACAACGTTTTTTCCCATACAGAATCTGTATGTACGGTGAATGTGGCTTTGGCATCTATAAAAAGGTTGTATGAGGTCTAGCTGACTAGTACTATGTACATTAACTTGGCTAGTAGTTTATTTATAGATAATAATATAGGCCCTCTGATACTAAAATAGCCATCATTTGGAAATTCTCTCATTTTAAGTATTTCCCTGGCAGTTTTGAGAGCCTGAAACTAACTCTGGTTTATGTTCATGGACCTCTTTCCAAGTAAATGAGTGGAATGAAATGAAGAACACATATTCCACTCCTTTATAAGCAGTTTTTATAGTATAATGAAGACCAGAGTGGTTGCTTTAAACACTGGCCACATGTTTTCAATGACAAGTGAGAGGGATTTTATCCTTATAATCAATCCTTAATTATAACTTACCTGTTTATTAGATTTCTTTAATAACTGCAGTGGAGGCAAATCTTCAGTTGTGAGTTAGGGGAATGAACTAAGATTTGCAGGTGCACCCCACCCCTGCCCCCAGCAGTTAGATTTCTAGCAATTGAGAGTTCCTAAAGCAGAAAACAACCTGCTCTGTGAATGGGCCTCCTGTACCACCACCCACTCAGCATCCTTGGGGATGGGGGTGGGGTCTCTGTAAAGTCCTCAGAGCCAGAAAGGTTCTGCTGTATTTGCCTTGCAAACTACAATGATCTGATGCCATGTAGTGACCATCGGTTTCTCAGTGTCACTCCGAGACCTGGAAGGGAGATAGGTGGTAAATGAATGACAACCACAGTTAAGAAAGTACCTACTGGAGAGATGAGTTTCAGTATTGATATTTCTCTCTTGCAGTAACTAATAGAGCACAAGCTAGTAGTTATGTAAGAATGAGTCTCTTCCCTACTTCATTCCCTCTTCCAGAAAGACTGTTTTAAGTCAGGAATTCAACTTGAGTTAGTTGTAAGAATAGATATCCTTTCCCACCTTATCATTTTAGGTAGGAGCTAACAGCTTCCATTGATACTTGAAGCAGTGATCTTTGGAGATTTAAAAAAAAAAATAGCTCCACAGTACAGATTAGGTTATGTAAGCTTTACAGCACAGCTAGAAATAGGGAATGGAAACCATGTGGGAATCTGGGCCAAAGTATTTCTCTCCCTCCAGCAAATTCCCTTGGGGCTTGGGAATTAGATGAGTTAATATACTTAAAGTGCTTTTTTGAGTGCCTGGTGCACAGTAAGTACTCAGTAAATGTTGACAGCTCCTACCACAGTTGGCTGAAGTGACAGAAGGTGTGTGAAGGAGGCAGCAAGACTGCTGCCAGGTAGCCAAGAAGCGAGTGCATGGTCTGCTCAGGGGAAGCTGCATTGGGTCAGTGGTATTTACAGGTTTGGGATGCTCCCATACTTTGCGAGAGGACTCCTAGCAACTGGGGTCTAAACAGGAAGCACAAAGCAAAACACTTGGTGAGAGAGGTAGTGTGGAGAGGTGGTGACAGGCCTCTACTGGCTGAAAAAGCTTGTGTTTCTGCTGTGGGGGTGAAATCATTGGCCAGTCTGCTGCCAGGGATTCGTAAATACTTGCTTTGGGATTTAAATGTGCTTAGAACTTCAAAAGGGCTGAGCTTAGAATATCAGGCTGCTGATTCCAACTTTCCTACCAGTGCATTAATAAAAAAGAGGTGAGTGATTACAGTTAGCCCTGGAATCCAACATCCAGAGCTCACCACCAGTATTTGGCAGTAGAAAGCGAGTTATTATAAACCACAGAAAGAGGAGCCTGGGTAGCATGCATTGAAGGCCACTGACTCGGATGCTTCTCTGCATAGCATTCCTGCAGCTTCTGTCTTCCAGTTTCCTTCAAAACTTTGGAACAAATCAGCACTCATCACCACATGAGGCCTCCTCTGTGTGTTAATCTTAGAAAAAACACCTCGGCCTGCCCATCCATTTCTTTTTCTTTTCAGCAAAAGGAAAGTTTTTTTTTTTTTTTCCTTTTGGTGAGACCGGGTCCCTTGGTTGAATATACAGCTTTCTGTTCCTTTCTGTGCTGAGGAAGAGTGGGCGAGTGTATCCCTGTCCTGGCAGGTGGTCCACTAGGTGGGGGTTATAGATTGAGTTCTGTGATGCTCTAAATTTATAAAAATTCTAGACAGGGATTGAACATTACCTTTAAAGGCAAATGAGAGATTTGCATTATAGTCAAGAGGCTTGTTTTTCCCACTCTTTTAATGGTCCCAGGAATCTTTATTTTGCAATGGGAAGTGAGAGGAGGGACAGCCCTGCCTCCAGGGGAAACTCCAAAGACCTACTCTCTTGCTGTAGCCCCAAAGCAAAGAGCTGTTTGTATAAAGTTCTGACAGCAGTTACCCCATCCCACAGTTGTGACTGGTGGTGGGATGGGCGTCTCACAGAGTCAGGCTTGAAGGAGGCCTTTTCTCTTTTTGCCCCTCCCCCCCCTTGCCTGCCCCTTGCCCTTGACCAGCCAATTTTAATAACTGAATTCCTTCGTCCTTCTAAGCTGAGTCTTGGTTCTTCTTTGCAGAACTTTGCCATTTCTGCAAACTGTGCTGCCTCTGCTGGGGGGGGGGGGGTGTCTTATGAAGATTGCTACTATCTGCCCCGACAGCTCAGGGGAGACTGGTTAGCATGTCTCCCCTCTTCCTGCCTCCTCCTCAGTGCTTCTGGCTGCACTGCCTCAGGGCCTGTCTCTCAGACTCCTAGATTTGCTTGCCTTGATCTTCTGTAAGGTTGGGATGAATGGTCTCTGCATTTACATGTCAGCTGAATGTTTCAGGTAATGAATTCAATAGTAGCTGTAGGTTTAAGCTATTTTGGGCTGTGGGCAGTAGATTGAAGGAGGAGGAACAGAAGAAAAAAGAGAAAAGGAAGAAATGCTCAAATTGCTCTCTTGTGTGGGCCAGGTACTCAGACATTCTTCAACAGCCTTCTCGGTGGTGATGGTCTTCTTTTAAAGATAAGAGACTGAGGCTCAGAGTTAAGTGCTAGAGTTAGGAATGAAACCCCACTCTGTTCGATTCCAAAGCCTCTTTCCACCATAGCATGCACCTGTGGGTGCCATCTGGATGAAGGTGAGGAGTGCCACATGGCAGGAAGGACGTGCACAGGCAGTGGGCTGGGCCCAGCTGGGCCTCCCCTCCCTGGGTCTGGGTTCACGGGTTTCCTGTGGAAGCCAGGCTCTCTGACTTGAGGTTGGTCTTGACCAAATATCCTGGCCTCTTAAAAATAGGGCTATTTTCTGTTAGACCAATTGGATAAGATTGTTTAACAGACTGGGAAGATAGGCTAGAAGACTAAGGTGTGGCTGTATGAACAAAGGAAGTTCTTGTATTTCAAACTTGTTCGAGAATTTGAGGTCTGTGCTTCCATTTAGCTGATGGCTTTCTGAGGCTAGGCTCTGTCTGGCCTGAGATTGGTGATGGGGATGCCTTAGAAGATTTGAGCCAGACTCTAAAGCCTGGTGAGGTTTTGACTCACGGGGTAGAAGGAAGAGGGACCTGGAGGGATGGCAGCCCAGGTTTGAAGTGTGCAGAGGATGTCCCGGTGCTAAGCAGAGCGGGGGCAGTGGCACATTGCAGTGGCCTGTGCCAGTCATCAGGACTCTCCCTGGACTGGGCTTCAGGACAGGCTGCCAGCCTAGAGGAAGCAGGCAGCCCTCTAGGTTGGGCTGTGCTTGGAGAGCCCTGCTGGGGTGGCTTTGAGGTCTCTGAATTACTGCCTGTGAGCCACCCTGCTGACTTGTCAGAGTCTCTCTGCAAACCAGGTCAGCAGCTCCTTTCCTGACGAACTGCCCCCTGGGTCTCTGCCTGGGGATGGAAGCAGAATCCCATCCAGGGAAGGACAGCCGTCCCTCAGGGCCCTTGGCAGTTGGCCGTTGTCTCTGCGCCAGCTGCCGAGATGCTGGAGTAGAGTAGGAGGAAGGCACTGTTTTAACTCAGCCGCATGAGTTCAGGCCAGTGACTTGCCTGTGAGGAGAGCGACACTGGCTGGCAGCTGTCTGTCCCCGCCCTGCCCCTACAGTTTGGTGAAGTTGCAGCACGCAGCTCTTATTCCCACTGTGCAGATGAGGATGGTGAAGAGCAGGGACCCCTCCAAATCACCCAGCTTGTTTGTGGCAAAACATTGTAGCTCCTAATAAGTGAGTTCATAACCACACAGAAGAAATAACATATCTTCCACTGTTTTTGGAGTTAACAGAAGCCCTTTCTTAGGGATGAGATTTGAATTAGACCTAGAAATGATCTCCTTTTACAGCTAAGGAAACAGAGGCTTAGCCACAGTGATCTGGCCCAAATTAAACAGCCAGTGGCTGTGCCACCTGTCCTGATAGCGTCCTGATAGCTCTGTGTGCAGCCCGCGTCCACCTGGTCACCCCTCCGCTCTGGGATGCATTCCGCGTACCTTTCCTCCACACTTCTGGGTGATTTGAAACAAAATAAGCAAAAACCAAGGATCCCCTTCCCTCCCCCACCCCACCCACCATGTGGGGAAAAATCCAGATGTCAGGTTTATTAGTCTTTGGCTCTTTTGGAAAACCGTTGGTGAGCTCACCCCTGGGCGGGGGGATGGACTGGTTAGCCTGGGGCCGGGGCAGCCTGTTACATTGCTGCTCTTGCCACCTGCACAGCTGGGTGTTTCCACACCATCTCTTTGGACTGTAACAGAACTTTGTAATCAAGTGCAAACTAGTGATTGCTGTTGGAGAGACCTCCCCCAAGGGTTGGTGGGGGTGTGGTGTGCTGTTAGAAGTGTACTTTTTATATTTGGCTTCATCCATGTTTTGGCTGCCCTCTGTTGTCTGTCCCTGCCTAGGCCTGTCATTGTGCGCTCCAACCAAAGGGGTCGCCCTCACAATGACACATTGCCCTGAGTGCTCTGATGCTGGGATCTTATTGGAGCCTTCCATTATGGAGGTGGTCTCAGAAGTTGCTCAATGTTCTAACCCCCCTCATGTCTTTAGAGGCTATAGTAAAGGAAGTATTGTGGACATTTAGGAGGTCAGAAACCTCTGGAAGGTGGCACCTGGGGAACTCTGGGAAGCTGAAAGCCCCTCAAAATGAGATTCATTGAGGCTAGTGAAGGAGAGACTTGGGAAGATCATGGACCTACCCATCAGCTATTTTAAAGGGTTACATTTACTTGTATGTGGCTCCAGAAGGGTAAAGATAGTTATAGGAAGCCAGTTGGGCAATTTGGGCTAACGTGTGCCTCCCAGGCTGCCCCTGGGAGATTTGCTGTGATGAGAAAGGAGGCCCTTGGTACCAGGAGTGTTTAAGCAAGCCAAACGTTTGCATAGTGCAGAGGAGTTTCTGCCATGGGGTATCACATTTGATCAGAACACTGATGTGTTTGCAGACACTACCAAGACCGTTTCTACCCTCTTGGGAATATGGATTCATTGAGAAACCTTCACTGTCACCTACTGCTATTTACCAGGCTCTGTGTGGAAGGAACAGCTGGAGAAAATATCAGGATTTTCAGCTTAGACAACTGAGTAGAAGGTGAAACTGCCAACCAAGATAGGGTGCACAGGAAGAGGGAGGGGGTGCTCAGGGGCTTGAACAGATCAGTTGTCTTTAACTCTGGCAGGCCCCACACTCAGTGCAGGACCTAGGTGACCTAGCCTGTGAGGAGGCTGAGAACCTGAGCGGCTCTGACAGGAGTGGCAAAGGCTTCCCTTGAGACTGATCCAGGAGCTGGATGGGAGTCTGCTGGGAGGGTCGTAAGGAGAGCTTCCAAGAAGGTGGGGGGCGGCGGCACAGGGTGTGCACAGCAGGGGCACAGCCTTGTGGAGCAGCACAAAGTTACTTGCTGATAGGAACTGGGATGGTCAGAAGGGTGAAGTGGCAAATGGGATGTGTAATTTGGAGTCGCTTGGGGGAAACCCCTGGGTATTGTGCCCTTCAGTGATTATCCTCTTCCAAAATGGTGAGAGAATCCTAGAGGGTTGATTTAGATAGCTGGATGGGGAAGGACTTGAGGCAGGAGGAAGAGGCTGCTACAGATGCAAGAATGGTGTGTCTCTTCATAGGCCAAGCTCCTCACCTGGACTGAGCGGGAGGGTGGGCCTGATGGCACTCAGTAGGGGGCCAGGGAACCACACACTCATTAAGGGTAGCCGGGGACCCTCCCAAGCACGTCTGTCTCCTGGGCCTCCGTTCAGGAGGTCACTGAGAGGACAGCGGCACTTGGGGCCAAGATGGGGAAGGTGAGGGAGGCTGGGCAGGAAGGAATGATGGAGAGGCTGGGAAATGGGGGTTTGGTGGCCCAAGTCCTCCTCGGCATGGGGTTATGAGCCCTCTTGTGCTCTTTGGGAAGTATCTCTTTGACAGTGGAGAGAGGTTTGCACGCTCCTGGGTCAGCATCTTCCCTTCCCCAGTTTTCACACGTCTGCTCTGCTGGGTTTGCCAGTCAAGGGGAGTGACGGGTACTGGGTGTTTATTTGTACAGTGGACTTCTTCTTCTTCTTCTTCTTCTTTTTTTTGTTTTTGTTTTTAAGAAGTGTTTTGATTTCTTTGCCTGGGCCAGGTCTGGAGCTCACTGGAGTCAGCATCTATAAAACATGGTGTTTAGCTGTGGGAAGTTACAGACTGGCTTTACAGAGTACTTGAAAGAGGGCAGAAACACCATGTAAGATTTCTGTGTCTAGCTCAGGCCTGTCACCTGTTTTCATACTGAACAAGTGGCAGGAGGAAGCAAGAGGAGTCCAGGTGAGTTTCTGCACCCCTCTTACCTCTAGCTCTGTTGGGGACTAAGGCTAAGGAGGCATCTGTGGTTCTGAACCTTTAGGTCAGAGCTGTGAAAGGTTACAGGGGCCCTGAGACACCCATCCCTCAGCCTTTGGGGTGGCTAGGAACCCAGGGTCAAATATCTCCAACTACAAGCAGCCTTGTCTTTTTATACCAGCTGGGATACCAGACATCCCACCTGTGTGCGTCAAAATGTGGAAATATATGGGAGCACTGCCTTAGCCCTGGTATTGACAGACTTTCTGGAAAGGGCCAAACAGGAAATCTTCCAGGCTCTGTGGACCATTCACTCTCATGGCTACTCAGCTCAGTTGTGGTAGCACAAGAGCAGCCAGAGACAACAGTGCATAAGCAAATGTGGCCTGGTCCAACAAACTTTAAAAAAACAACCCCACAGTAGGTAATGCGTCCTATTTTGCCAACCTGTCTTAGACTGTAGAGACTCCTCACCCCTTGGTTTATTCATGACTGGAAACTTCCACCTGATGCCTGGCTCATCTACCTTCCCACAAGGGCCTCCTGAGAGCATCTGTCCTGTGTGAGTGCTGAGGAGGAAAGGGCAGTCCTGGCCCATAAGGACCACAGGTTTTGAGTGAGTGTGTGTGTGTGTGTTTGTGTGTGTGTTGGGAGGGGGCAGGATGCATTGACAGGTGAGAGCAAAATACAGAGCAGAACAGGACTTGGGGAAGTCCAAGGTGATGGGGCCCCGAGGAGAGAAGAGGCTCAGGTGTCAATCAGGAGGGCCTTAGGAAGGAAGCTGCTCTGGAGACGAGGAGGGTGTGTGAACACCAACAACAGTACAGTCATGTGAGCATGTTGGGCCCAGCCTGGGAAGGGCCGAGTGCCAGGCTAGAGCATGGACCTCATTCTCTGGGTGCTGCGGAGCCAGTGAGATGTTGGGTTCATACAGTAAACTGAGCACAGATGCATTTTAGCAACATCACTCTGGTTGTGGAAGACCAGACCTGTGATTACAAATGGTATCTTGGGTTTTGTCTAGACTTTTAAGGCAAGAATTAGGTTAGAGTTGGTAATCAAGTGGAGGGAGAGGCCCAGACTTGTTGGTTTTTCTGGCCATTGGCTTTGGGGGCCAGGGAGCACACTTTTTTGACCTACAGGCTTTTTCTCTTGCTGTCTGTCCTAAAGACCATTTAAATATTCGGTCTCAAACCAGAATTAGATTTTGGCCTTGTGTGAGGGTAAAAATGAACTCCCCCTTCCTTCAGAATTGAGTTTCACTTCCAGGAGAGCTTCACTTCCTTCCTGTCTGCATGTAACCAGTGCACAGAACAGGACTTCAGAGAAGCACAGATGATGGGTGGGACTCTCGAGAAGCCCACACACGACTGCCACACACGACTTTAGCCTGTGTGTAACAGGCTAAAGCCAACACTGCTCAGGTGCATCACAGACTGCCGGAGGCCAGGCCTTCTGTTGGGTGCAGGGGAGATTGAGGTGAGTCACTCGTGGTGCCTGCCCCAAGGTGCTCAATGTAGTTGGGGCGATGAAAACAGTTATGAATATATATAGCGCTTTCTACTTTCCAAACCTGCCTCCCACCCCCACCCCCACCCTGGGGTTTCTAGGCAGGCGAAGGGAGCCACTGTATGTTGAGCATTGGTGACATGCCAGGGCCCAGGACTGGGAGCTGCCCATGTTCTCCTCTGGTGAGGAGGGGGCTGTGCGCTTAACGTGCAGTGACAGGAGCTACCGGGAAAGGGCCCTTGGGGACTGCAGAAAGACCATCTGGCCTGACTGCTGCATGGAAGCCCTGCAACAGGCACAGGGTGGGAGGTGAGGCGCCCGTGCCACTCAGGGGAGGCACGTGCCTGTAGCCCCGCAGCTGGGAGGTGCGGTGTCAGCTGGCAGCCTTGCACGTCTGGGGAGGCATGTGGACTGCCTGCACCCTGGTCCCCTGAAGACCCGGTCAGCAGGTGAGGGGTTGGGTGCTGCCCTGGGCAGGTGGGCCTGGCCTTGTGCGGGAGGTTGACTTGGAAGGTGGTAGGATGTGGTACCCAGAAATCACTGAAAACCTGGGGACTGTGTGCTGCCTGCCGAGGGAGCCGTGTCTGGTCATTGCTGGACTCCAGCAAGGGTTACGGGAGCCCTCGGGGAGCTGTGCCTCCAGGGCCTGTTGGATGCCAGCCTTGGGCTTGCCTTCTGTGGAGGGCCTGCCTCTTGGAATTTGGTGCCAGGGCTGAGGGGGCTTTCGTGCTCTGACAGTAGGTGCGCCATGTTTCTGAGGAGCACTCCTGGTGTTTTCCGGAGGGGTCTGTGGCTCAGGGAAAAGAAGGGACAAAGGTGGGGCGGTTGGCGTGATGGTACCTGGGGTGGCTGTGCCTCAAGCAGCTCCATCCTCCCCTGTGGCTCGGGCCTCAGAGGGAAGCTGTCAGCGGTGGGGCCCAGGCACTTGCCTCTCCTAGCACACAACTCCTACTTAGGGACACAGATGGTCAGAAGGTTCTTTTTTTTTTTTTTTTTTTGACTCTAACGGAAGTATTTCTGTTCTGAAAAGTTAACGTTTGTTGCTAACGGAGATGAAGGGAGGGACAGAAGAGTTTCAGGTAGCTCAGAAGATCCTTTAAGTCCCTTCTCGATGTGTGATTTGTTAGGTTGCATTTTAAGTGTCCAGCCTCCCCCCCCCCCCCCCCCCCGACTTCTCCAGTCTGAGCACTGCTTAGGGGTTTTGGTTTGGTGGGTCACTGGCAAGACACGGTGCTCCAGACACAGGCTCCCTCCTTGATATGGGTCACAGTGTCAGCCTGCCTGAGGTCATGAGGCCACCCGCCAAGCTGGGACTGACCTGACTGCCCAGATACTTCATCTGCCCTGTCTACCCTGTCGGGTCAGGAGTGCTGCCATTAGATGCTCCCCTCCCTGAGCGGCATGGCGTCTCGTGGGCTGGCAGGGTCATAGTGCACCCCTTCTTTGTCGAGGGGACGCCAACATCTCCCAGTTCTCTTGCTCACTGACTGTAGTGGTTTCTCAGTGTGGGGCCTGCTGTTTCTTGCTTCCTTTCTTGGAGAGGAAGGCCTATATCTAGAGACTCAGCCAGGGAGGCTAATTACAGGCAGCCTCAAGGCCTGTGAGCGCCTTACTTCCGGCACCTTCCAGGAATCCCAGGTGTCTCTGGCTCACGTGTGGGCTCCCAACTCCCGATGCCCTTCCTTCCCAGGGGCTTGAGGAAGCAAAGTGAACACTTGCTTGAGGTGGGAGTCTTCCGCGTTTGTCTCCCTTGTTGTCTGCTGACCTGCGTGGGGCAGACTTCATCTACTCTGGCTCTCAGCAGGCTCACCTTGTGGATTTCCCCTAAGTGTTTCTCAGCTCAGGCCGTTCACCCAGGGAGCAGCCTGCTTGCTGGCCTGAGTGGCTGCTGGGGGCCCAGCCACACCTTCGGGAGAGGACAGCCCCTTGAGGTAGCCCTAACTAGGGTGAGGCAGTGAGGCAGTGCTCCCCGGTTTGCATGCCATGCAGTGTAGCTCTCTCAGAGAGGGGCCTACAGGATGCATTTCCTGCCCCAGGCAGCTAGCTTAGAACTGGAGCCCACGGCTTTTGGAGAAGGAGCTTCCCTCCTAAAGGAGTAAGTAAGTGGCCCTGCTCAGCCTCAGCCCCAGGGTGGGGAATTCCAGAGGTACGGAGGAGGCCGAGTGAGTATAGTTGTGGGGAGAAAACCTATCCCTACTGCACGGTTACACATGTGACATTGGACTTCTGGCTGTAGCTTGGTCTCATCACTCTGGTCTGGTGATGACCTAGGTAGCTTTTAGAGATCAATTTAAAATACCTATCTGTATCTATTTACTGTTCTTTCTGAATACACAAGTGTAAATAGTATAATTTGCAGTGCAAAGTCCTTGGCAATAACTTTATGTTGTGTATTATGTTGAAAACCTTGGCAAACGCAACCACCACGGCTTGTCCTTCCCCTCTGGGGCAATGATTACATGTAGGACTCTGAACGTGAAACCTTCGGCGTGGTTGAAGCAGCGGCCTGCATGTGTGGACAGTCACCAGTGCCTCACCCAGAGATGCCTGGCCTTCATCCAAAGGGACTCTCTTCCACTCCACCACCCACACTGCGGCTCTTCCGCACTGACTATGTTGGACTTTGCCATAGACTGACCCTCTTGTCTGGCTGCTGCAGTTTGTCTGTAATGCCCTGACATGTTGCATTCTCCCCATTTGGATGAATAAAAATAAAAGCTTCTGTCTTAAACAGCAGTGGACTGACTGGTTAAGTGAAGACTGTCACTTTGTGAAATGGTCAAGTGCAGGACCGTTTTCCTGGTCCCTATGACTCTGGTTCAGATCACGCAGCAGGTTCTTCCTATCACATAAAGGCACGAGGGGCCAAGGCCTGTTTACTGTCCCTAACAACTCTTTGTTTCTTCTCTGCTAACGGTGCAAAAAGTTTACTGAACCTGAAATCTGAGCCTGGCACCGTGACCTAGCAAGTGGTGAGTCATGGGTGTTGAGTGAGGGCTGAATTCTAAAGCTTAGAATTCACTGGGGACTTTTCACACACCTTAGTCTTCTGCTCACACCCTTTCCCCAGGGCTGGCAGTCCCCACAAATGACACATCGGGACACTAAGGCTCACTGGGAAATGTATAGAACTTGTAGATGGTAACAACAATTTGTAGCCAAAACTGAAGCTCTTCCCCCTTCGGGAGGGTCCTGCAGTGGATCTGCCTCAGGCCTGCTGCTGCCCATCAGGTAAGTGCCACCACAGGGTGGACGGAGACACTGGGGGTCCTTGCACGCTGGCCTGGGCCCACCACTGCTCCCCTGCTCCCCTGCCCATCATGAGCACAGGGGACAGCCTGTTGAGGTGAAAGGGGGGGGGTGGGCACACGGTTCCTGCTGGGTGCCCCGGAAGAGGGGGAGGTGGCGGCGGCTCCTGGTAGGGCAGGATCTTGTGAGCACAGGCAGCCAGCCTTCCACCTTTACTTACAAATCTAAGAATATCCTGATCGGACAGCTGGAGGGAAGAGTATGCACGAAGACGACCAAGAGCTTACAGCACCCAGCAGCTCCTAGGACACAGAGGATGACACCTGAGAGATGAGTGCTGGGTCCAAGGTCACAGCCTGGCAGCCTGGATCTGCCCCCCCCCCCCCCCCTGCACCAGTGTGCAGGTTTGTCTTCTGCAGTGGAGTGCTAGGAGGTCACGCACCCACAGCTGCCCTGCTGGCTGTGGTGTTAGAGACCTAGGGCCTGCGCCACGAACCTGTGTGTCCTATTTCTTCACCTGTAAGATGGGGAAAGGCTGAGCTTTCCATCTGCTGTGGTCCTAATCCCCGCTCGTGCTTCATCTTTTTTGACCCCCTCCCCCCAGAAGGGTCAGGGGACAGAAGGAGGCCCAAGGTCAGAATCAAGCCCATCTGAGCAGGGGAAGCACTCTAACACTGTGAACGTCCACCAGACTGAGGAGGATAGAACTCTTCCAGGTCACAAGGGACCTGTGTCACCTGCTTACTCCATGCTGCATAGAACCGGATTTCCACAACAGTTGGGTCAGTCAGAGCTGGGAGTGGTGTTCTCAGCTTATTTTTAGCTCCTGGGGATTTTCTTTTCTTCACTCCTGCCACGGACACTGGAAATTCAGAACAGAGGGGTGGCAGCAGTCCTGCAAGACTGAGGAAGGTGTCTCCTCCCCGCTGGGAATTATTACCAAGGCTCTGGGGTTCAGTGGTCCCTGCTTAGTCCACCCAGCCTGTTGTGTATTTTCACTGACCTTTCCAGCAGCCCTGAGCACGCACCGTCTGGGAAGAAATGCGGCCACTATCAGAACCAGGATCTGAGTTTTCCAACACAAAGCCTCATGCTCTAGCCCCCTGCACAGTCCTCGGCAGTATCCCCACCCACCTCTGAGTCTGCTCCCACTCTGGGCACCAGCAGCTTCCCCTTCACCAAATCCAATGAGCCCTTTCTGGTCCTGCCCTCACTCTGATGCAGAGCTTGCTCCTTTCCCTCCAGATGGCCCAGCCTTCCTCCGTGGCCTTTTCTCTTCAAATGGCACTTCTAGGCCTGCAGCTGGCTAGCCCTGGCTGTCTGTCCATTCTGTGCGGTCTCAGCCACTCTTCTCACTTCAGCTAACCTGCCAGAGCGGGGCTTCACCACAAGGGGTGACGGTTCTACCCGGGGATGTGAAGACCTTTCTAGTGCCAACTGGTGGGACGTGGTGAGGGACGTTGCTAACCAGCTGTAAGCGCAGGACAGCGCCTCACAACAAAGGACGGTCAGTAGTGTTGACGCTCTGAAACACTATGGTAGAGATGCCTGCACAAGTCCTGAGCATCTGTGGCTTCTGGGTACATCCCAGCCATGTTTTCCTTGACTGTCTCGAGTCCACAAACCAGGAGCTCCGTTTCTCTCCCTGTGTGTCCTCCCCTCCCTCCAAGTTTTGATGACTCTCCAGGAACTGTCTCCAGTCTGGCCTATTTTATCATCTCTTTAGACTAAATCTTTCTTGCAACTTTTCTTCCTAAGGACTGCCAGGGCACTTACCCAATTTTTTAAAAGCAAGTTGGCCTAAAACTCCGTAGTCGTTCCCTTGACCTTCAAACTGCTTGGCCTGGGTGGCCTCAACCTCATCCAGTTTCCCTCCATTAGACCATAGTGCTAACTACCCACTGCTGCTTCCAGCTAAACATCTTGTTGCCTCTCTACCCAGCAAACCCCTTGGTCATGGTGCAGAAGACGCTCCACACTGCTTCATCTCCCTTGCAAATACACAGCCCTCCCTGTCCCCACAGGAGCCCATACACCTGTTTCAGTAGGTTTCTCAGTCTGGGTCTTCACACCACGAGGGGACCTCGCTGAGAGCAGGGCCCATTGGGATCACGGGAGGCCTCCTGTTTCCTGGGCTGACTGGCAGACGGACTTCTTTCTCTGGGGTGGGCACAGCTGGGACATGAGGATTTCTGTAGAGTCCCTGCACTTCCCAACACCAGGACCCTTGGGAATCAGAAAAGCCTAGAGCAAGCTGGCCTTTCTGGATTCCTGCCCCCACTGGCCAGAAGTAGATTCTCCAGTCTGTGAATGGCAAAGGGACCCCAAATGTGCCCTGGAGCTGCTGTCCTGGGCTCTGCAGGGCACCTGCCAAGGCCCAGGCCCCTCTAGGCACTTGCCCAGCTTCAGTGCAGTGGACAAAGACTGGGCAGGGGCTCCACTCACCACCTTCCCTTCTTCGCAGGCTGCGTCTCAGCCCGTTTCCATATAAGGCCAGAGGTAGAGGGGTCCCGGAGGGGAGGAAACCGCAGGGTTGGGGAGGCTGCTCCTCTTCCTGCTGCAGAGAAGGGGCGAGGTGGTAAACAGAGATGGCTAGGTGGCCTGTGCATCCTTATGGTGCAAGAGAGGACCCCTGCACCATAAGGGAGCTTTCTAGGAGATGTGTCTGTCCATGCCGACCTCTCTTCCTGAAGTCTGAACAGAGCAGAACTGGACCCCAGCTACTTCTCCTGCATATTCACATTTGAGGCTCGGAATGCCACCTCCTGTCTCTTCCCCGGGAAAGATGCTTTCATCTTTCAAGGTCTTACTATACTCTTAACTCCTTAGGCCTTCTCTAACCCTCCACTTCACAAATAGCGCCTCACTCCATAACCACAACACTTTATTTTGAAGAGGGTAATCAGTGTTAGCCACAGAGATGCAGGCATCAGCCTCGTGGGAGGGGAAGCTGGCACACTGGAGCTGCTTGGTACATGTGAGTGCATGAGTAGGGAGGTGCCTGGTGCCCACACCTGCCTGACAGCACAGAGGGGGATCTTCTCTGTGTGTGGGAGTGGGTGCGGGGGGGGCAGGTGCACATAATGATGAAACCGGTTTCTACAAAGTGATGCTCTTTGTACCAAAATATTTAATGAATATGCTGTTAAAATAAAACCAACAAAAGGAATAGTAATACAATTTTACTGGTTTATATTTCAATTCATAAAGTTGACACACTGGAACTACCCTAGCACAATGTCCACGCACCTAGTTGTAGATGGGCTTACAGCTGTTTCGGTAACTGAACAAGAAAGACACAAAGCGGTGGAGGGTGTGTGGGGGAGGGGTTGCCTCTTGTCACCTCCCTTACCACAGATGACTTCAGCAAGCGCTAGGACAGCCACCAGGAAAAGAGATACAAAACAAGCCAAGTATCTTTACACACAGACCAGTGCCTCTTAGAACAGCTACCTGCACCCTGCGTGCGGAGGCGACGAGACCATTGGCGCCAGCCTGTCAGCATACCGCTATATAAATTAAAAGGCTAGGTTATTTATTTACTTAAAGGTGCTAAAACCTCCATTCCATAGTTTTGAAGTGAGAACCTGCAAGCCCACCTGAACAGTGAGGTCCACACCCAGCCACACTCTGGGGAGGGCCCAGGGCCCAGGCAGCCTGGGAGGGAGCAGGGGAGGGACCTGGAAGCCAGCAGGACGGGCCTCAGCACATACATCTTGCACAGGCATTTACAAGAACACACACACACAGTGCCGTGTCTTTCTCACTTGTATGACCTGTTGTGCAAAAAACACTAGGAACATTTTAGTCAAGGAGCATCTCCCAGCTCTTGTGAGGGCAGGGAGGAAGGGAGCTTGACAAACCCGGAGTGAAATCAAGTGCCCAGATATCCAAAGAATTAGCTTGTGCAGATCTGTCTTAGTCTGGGATTTAAACACTGTCAGTTAGTTGCACAGGGAGAAGATATTTATTTACACACACACACACACGCGCGCGCGCGACACATGAAGCAAAATAAGATTTGTCCACGTTATGATTAATCCTGTCTCACGTTGGTCAAGTCCCCAGCCCAGCCCCGTGAAGTTTTGGCAGCTGACACTAAAGAACAACAGGAACTACGAGAGTTGCATAGAATTGATCAGAAATGTGAATAATGCCAAACCCAAAACCTGTGCATCGTGTGGTTTAACAAAACTAGGTGGCTGCAACTACAACCAGGAAACCCCTATTTAAAACAAAGTGCTTCTCCACGTGTACCTGGAGGACCCTATGCTGGCACTGAAGTAGATAAGAATTATTTGAGTTACTGATCCCTTGCCCACCCTCCCACCAATACATATAATATGTATATTAAAAAAAAAAAAAGATTAAAGGTTTAGAAAAAAACCAAAAGCCTGAAGGATCCCCAAACTCTGACAATGTCAACTCAGCCCTTGGGCTGGGTGAGGTGGTGACCCACACCAGGAGGAGGCTGGGAGCTCACCCTG